GAATCATCTGCATAGATAATAGAATTTACACCTACATTTTTGGGAAGATCATTTATTATTACAATAAAGAGAAATGGTCCGAGAACTGAGCCCTGCGGCACTCCCAAGGAGACATCACACAATGATGAGTGAGCACCCATAATATTTACATACTGCTTACGGTTCATTAAGTATGATTCAATTAATTTCAAGGAGTCGCCAGAAACACCATAAAAGTTAAGTTTAGTAAGGATATTGATAGGCGGTACACAATCAAATGCCTTAGTTAAATCTAATAGGGATAGGAAGGCTGATTCTTTATTTTCAAAGGCATGTAGTGCTTTACTGACAATTTTCATTACTGCAGAAATCGTAGAATGTCCGGGTCTAAAACCAAATTGGGACTCAGAAAATAGTCTGTTTATTTCAAAATAGTTGCTAAGTTGATTGTACATAACAGTTTCAAATAATTTTGAAAAAATTGGAATAACGGATATAGGACGATAATTTTGTGGAAGATTTCTGTCTCCTTTCTTATAAACCGGTGTAATTTTAGACAATTTTAACATATTTGAAAAATAGCCAGATTCTAAACATCTACTTATTATATAAGCAAGTGGTTCCTTAATTATATTTATTGTCTGTTTCAGTAAATAGTTGGATATCCAATAAAAATCAGTGCTTTTTGAATTTGATAGGCTTGAAACAATTTTTGAAACTTCAACCAGATTTACACTTGTCCAGTGAAAGGAGTTAGGAGCTATAGGTCTTGTACCCATTAAATCACAGATACTGACATTAGTGTCAGGAATGCCTTTCACCAGTTCATTGACAGATTCTATAAAGTATTGATTTACACACTCAGGGTCAAATCAATACTTTATTGATAATAAAGTTATTGTATCCATTTGTAATAATTGAAATGATTACAAATGGATACAATAACTGCTATCTATGTAAAAAAAATAAAGGATATGTCTTTGTTATTACCTCTGAGAATTTGAAATAATGCTGCATAGCTAGTGCATGGATCCTGCCTTGGACCCCTGCTCCGAGAATGGCTAAAACATTTTTCTGTCCTCGGTGGAGATGTTTGGTAGAGACCACGGACGCTGCTGCCGTCCGCCAACCGGTAATCTCGCCTCCTTCCATAATCTAATGCAGGAAAATCATTAGCTTTCGTTTCAAATTAAGAATTCCTGTTTTTATCAGTCATGATGTTAACACAGAAAATATTGCACTACCCTACAACCCAAAACCTCTTACTCAACTTAATATGTGAGGGTGTACGTGTAAATGTCGTGGGAGGGTAACAGTGGACTGTTTACACCAGTTGATGGTTTATTTAAGATAAAACTGATACATTATAGTGAGTGAGACCATGGTGAAAGTAAATAAGGTGTACTATTCAGCCGGACGAGTTTGAGACCGTTCTGCGCATCGCGATGTGACGTCACCTTGGGGGCAAACCGCTTCGCGCGCGTATATAGCTCAGCGTGACACTGCTCTATAAACATCAACATTTTGAACTGTTAGAATTGAGGAAAAATTATGAAACTTGACATGGACATCAATTATAAGTGGACGATGTGTGTTGTGAAAAAATAGTTTGTAATTGTTAAAAACTTTAAGCGTGAAATCACTCTTTATACTTGGCCTTTCTTAAAACTAAACATGTAAAAGTTAGTCGGCTACCAAATCATGTACTATTTGGTTAGAAGCATTTGACCAGCGGGAAAGTTTTAGATAAAGATCCAAATTTAACTTTCCTTCAAACTATGTACCGTTAGAGGCGTTATTTCCTGAGATATGCTAAGTTATATGAGCGCGTGCTGCGAGTCGAGTCAGTTGCCAAGTATTAATCACACATTGCCATCCAACAAGTAATGTAGTTTCATGAATGAATATAGTATTAGTGATATTTTTATTCCTGTATTTTTATTTTTATGTGAAAAATTGTTGTTCTGTTGACTTCAGTGTGTTTTTCCCCGTTTGAATATGGGTTATTTCGTAATAGTTCACAGAGAATATATAATATTGTCTTCTCTGTGAATATGGTTAACGATGCCTAATTGCATTTAAAGCATTGCAAATCGTTATTGATTAGCTAAAACCAAAGTTTGCAAATAGTGGTTTAAATAATAAATTATCTTTAACGCAAAGGAATGTATTTAACATAGTATATAAAATAAAATGTACTCTGTTAAAAAATAAGTTGGTGATTAAACATTGTATTTATAATCAGGTTAAAATATAAAATTGTTTCACTCTTGTAATACCATAATAAAAAAAAAATTATATTCCAGTTTAACTCGACTGCTAGGATCCTATATCACTGGGGTTGTTATCTATGTCACAACTTTGGCTCGGATGCGGGGGTGTGTGCGGGGGATGATCACGTGTTGTTTTTTTTTGTTTTCGTTTCTGTGTTCACCGCGAGTTGCAGTAGATGTCAGTTTTCCATAGGGCACGCATCTTTCTACAAAAATGCCCCATTGTGCAGTGTATCAAAATCAAACAAATCAACAGGAGGCTAAGATAATGCAATTTTGCTAGTGGCGAAAAAAGAAAATTTCTAAAGAAACTTAAAAAAGTTTAGAAAAATCCAGTGGTGATGAAACGTTTAATTTTTTACATGTTTACTTTCAGGTCGTAAATATTTTTATAAGATTGCAAAATGTATTAAACTATGTTTTTGGTTAAGGAAATGTTATTCATTTTCGATCCTACAAATTTTATGGCAACTGTTATCAAAGAGAGTTAATTTGTATAAAAACGAAGATGTTGCAACGCATTTTAATGTAAAACTTATTACATCTGTCACATGTTAATATTACATATTTCATTGAAAATGTAGAATACAAAGTATATCCTTATAACATGTAGCTACAGTGTTTTGGATAATAAATGCGTGGCCTTATTTTCCAATAAACGGTAGCATCAGCTGAGCACGCGCTCCGTTGCCGCTTGATATAATTCTTCGTAGCTAAAAAAGTAATTATTTTATCGAAATCCAACCAATACTACAGTTAGATTAGAACCTTTTCCTAAAACTTTCCCGCAGGTCTGATAAACCTGACCAAATAATACGTGATTTGGTAGCCGACTAACTTTTTTTGTGTTAGTATGAAAAAGTTTGAAGTTTGATCGGTGGTTGAATGGTTTTTATTTTAAATAAATTAATAAAATTTAAATCATAAGCATCCTATGTTAATAGTCCAAGACTATGCAAAGTTTCAGGAATTTGTATCGGTTCTTACTATTAAAAATTACAATTTTATTAGAGCAGCGTCACTGCTCGATATGGTCGCGAGGCTGTTTGCCCCCAAGGTGACGTCACGATACCCCTCCCCGCACCGCCGGCAGCCGGCTACGATGCGCAGTAGCACACCTTATTTACTTCCACCATGAGTGAGACAACAATTTGAAAGAAGGTAAACTAATGCGAAGAAAAAAATACAGAATATAAAGCTTACCATCTTAACTTTACCAGTCTCAGCATCTAAAAGCAGCACAGTTCCAAATATTGATGGGAGGCCTTTTTCTGCATTTTTTCTAAATGAAGACACAACTTTACACCCCAGTGTGTTCAACTTCCCACTGAAAGACGGCATACACAATAGTGCCCTGTAAAAAGTAACGTAGTATATGCTAACTTAAGTACTGTGTAGGTAAAACAAGACTATGGTTTATGAAATAATATTCAACTGATTCAAATAGAGCTGTTTCATTGTCAGTAGTAGTTTAAAAAATTAACACTCTCATCACACACTCAGCGATATTTTTAAAACTAAATGAGAGGTTAAAAAGTTATGGCAGTCTGGGTTAGTGGAGGGGGAAACTTGAATGGGATGCCAAACTATATAGGCTATGCAATGAAAAATATTTCATTCTCCTGCACCATGCAGAATTTGGAGGACATATACCCTGTGCTTGATTTGTAAAAAATGAGGTGCCGGAACTGTAACCTATTTAATGTGATTAAGTTAGTTCCTATTTATGCCAATATTTTTATCTTTCCCAAAGAGAGTACCAGAAAGCTGCTCCGTTCCGCTGCATTCAAACTCTGTCAAAGAGCGCACTTAGTGTTGTGATTTTGTTTGGGTAGGGAAACAGTGCAAATCAAGCACTGCATATACCATTACACTTAACAAACTATACCATTTACCTAGCCTAGCCTATGTATTTTCACATATTTCTATAAGTGGGCCAAGAATAAGAAAGAGCAGTTTGTGAGGGAGGGGGGGGGGGGCTCAGTTAAAACTTATTATGCCACTGGAGCAACCTTAAAAACTCATTTCCTTACCCCTCTCTTGGTGGTATAGGCATTATAAGACGAGCTGGCTGAATGGTTTCAGTTTCATCTTTGTGTGAAATATCACTGAGAACATTTTCAATAGTTGGAATTAGGTCATCCCAGGAGAGGTATTTTAACACATTGGATTCATTGAGATACACAGGTTGATCTGTATCGCCCATTTCTTGAACAATGTTGAACAGGTGAACTATTAATTATCAATTATTTACGACACACGCACGCACACTAAAATAACTAGGTTATGTTTGTATTGACTTTCTTTGTTGTGACAGATGGAGTTGACAAGTAGTATAATGTTGGTGAATCAAATCGAATCAAATCAACAGGTGGAGGTGGTTGACTGTTTGACAGGACAGACAACAGTGGAATCAGCTGACTTGCACTTCACTTCATTTCCCATAATCCCATAACTGAATCCACTATATTCTTTCACGTTTCACTTTGGCAATCGCAATGGAAAATGGAAGTTTGGCTCTGATTGGAACTACTGAAATTGAATTGAACCAAAAACCAAACAAATTTAATCTACGTTTCTTCCGTATTCTGTATTGTTGTCTTCTCTTCTTGTGCCTTTCTTGTTTATCATTTCGTTCATCTGTCTTCGTGTGTCTCTCTCCACTCCACTCCAGTCTTTCCAGTACTACTACACTGAGCTATAAGAATTAATATTAACTAACTACCAACTTACACTGTGTGTGTGTGTACTGTTGTACTGTTGTAGTTGTCATCATGATGTTAAAAGCAGTGAAATGAAGACAAGTTGAGGAAATAGCGTTTTATCAATTTTAACTATTGTGTACTTTTATAGGGGTTTAGCATTTAAAAGTGTATACCTTCTGCGAATGTTTAATTTAATTTTACTGTATTTAGGGTTAAGAGTTAAAGGTTAAGAAGCGAGCGTTTAAGTGCATAACCTCAAAGTGAAATATAAAATTCTGCCTAGCAGTCTATAAACTTTGTCAAAATTGAATGGGTGGTATCTAAGTTCTGAATTACCTAGTTTTAAGAATTATTGGATGATTCTTTATTGTTCATCAGTTCACTGAAATAAATAAGTTAAACTTACATCATGGCTGAAGGAAAAAACAGTGGGCTAGAAAGTGGTGCTATTGTTGTAAAAGCTAAACCAGAAAGAAAAGTCTTTAGACCCATTAAAACTGTAACAAAAATTCCCGAGGAAATCTTAAAATACGCTGAACTCAATGCAGCTATAAAGCTATTACCCTCAAACTACAACTTTGAAATTCCAAAAACAATTTGGAGGATCAAACAGAACAAATGCAAACGAGTCGCACTTCAGATGCCAGAGGGCTTATTAATGTTTGCAATTACAATCAGTGATATAATTGAAAAGTTTACCGCTGCAGATACTGTTATCATGGGAGATGTAACTTACGGTGCCTGCTGTGTTGACGACTTTACAGCCAAAGCTCTTGGTGCTGATTTACTTGTTCATTATGGTCATAGTTGTTTGATCCCAGTTGACCGAACCACAGGGATTACCATTCTATACATATTTGTTGATATAAAAATCGATTCTCTCCATTTTATTGAGACAATCAAAGCCAACTTTTCTAATGACACAAAACTAGGCTTTGTTAGCACAATACAGTTTGTAGCTACACTACAAGCTACTGCAAATGATTTAAGGAAAGACGGCTATTCAATTACAATTCCCCAGAGTAGGCCTTTGTCTCCTGGTGAAATCCTGGGCTGCACGGCTCCTACGCTTGTGGATGTGGATTGCTTAGTATATTTGGGTGATGGAAGATTCCACTTAGAAGCTGCTATGATAGCCAATCCAGACATCAAATTTTTCAGGTAGGCCTACCCTAAAGTACTAAAACTAGGCCTAAGTTTACCTAATAGAATATTTACAGAATGTTCAGGAATTAATTTGAAGAGGCATAGACTACAGCTTGGTCAACTCAGCAAATTAAAGTCTAGGGCCTATACAACATATTATATTAGCTTCCTGAAAGCCATGGCTAGAATTTTACACTCTGCTTGTCATATTTATGTAAAAAAAGTGCAATAAGTTTTTGTCGAAAAGATTGTTTAAGTGACTGTACAGTTAAATAACCAATAACAAACTTAATTTTTGTTGAGTAACTTAAATCCAGATAACTTAAATGGTGGTTTGGGCGTGTCCAAGTTCTAGCGGCAACTAACACTTGAAGGGGAGGAAGTTTTTTGGAGTGGAAATAGAATAGCAGTTAGTTGTTTACATTCGATGTAAAAGAACCAAAACCACACACAAGACAACGTGAAAGCAAAATCTGAATATGCAACGGCTCGATTTGCAATCAGACTTTGATGCCGTTTAAAAAAAACAGTAACATCTACGATACATACACTATTAGTTATTAAAAAAATTGAATTGAACTTATTCCCGTTACAAAATACAAGGAATAGACGCTAAGCCACTGCCACTTCAATAACATTAACAACATGATCGTCCTCAACTCAAACCTTATCGTCTGTCAACTAACGTGCCATTGTGCATAATCCTAATGAGCCTAAAAATGAAAACTTGCCATAGTGCATAATTTCATGTATCAGCAATTAACTAATAAATTATATTACATGTGTAATAAGGATACTCCAAGTAAGAGATTCCGTGATTTTAAAAATATTTTCCATTTAGCCTAAGGCATACACTGCAGTACGGTAAGGAAGTTAATACTGAATCCATAAAAAAATCAAGCTAGCTAATATAAAATTCAATTAATTAAATTAAGGAATTAAAATGCAAGCATTTTTGAAATTATTATTTTGTTGTGTTTCGCCTTCGCCCACTATTTCAATTGTGCAAAAACAGTATGTAGGTAGGGTAACATAAATTAATGAGTTGGTTCATTATAACCTAAACTTTAACTTCCTAATCTAACCTAACTTTAAAACCCTTAATACAGTCACGATTTCTGCATCTCCAAATTGACCCAATCCCCAATTAATTTGGATAATCAAAGTTCTGTATTAAAACACTATTACTGTAGGCTATTCTGTCTGACTGACTCTAGTAAAAAGTGTGTATAATTCTGTGTCCAAAATCTATGTCCCCTTCATTCTCAATCAAACTTAATTCAAAATGCCACTGTCGTAGATACAAGCAAAAAAAAAAAAAATAAATAAAAATTATAGATGAGTTTAGATTAGATGTAGGGCTTAAGGTGAAAGCTATGCTAGTTTTAGGATTTTCTGGAAGTAGGCCTACAAATAAAATGTTGATTTAACTCAATTAATTTCTATCACAGTAATACGATCACCTCAAACTTAGGAGGCTCACACAGTGTGTCCAGCAAGATAAATGCACATTTAAATTATTTGTAGGCTATATGTTTTATTAATCTTTACGTATATACCTAATTAGGACTACATCAATTTATAGTAAAGATGTAATTGAAAATGTTATTAAATAGGCTACTTGATACTTGAATCCTGCATCTTTGACAGATCTAGTCTGATAGATTGTGTCACAATTTATCAATGAAATCAAATCACTTAATTTCGCTAAAATTGTGTTGTTCCAGATATGATCCCTATGAGAAAGTGTTGACAATAGAGTCTTACGATCACGAGGCAATGAGGAATAATAGAGAGTCGGCAATACAAAGAGCAAGTGCTGAAGGCTGTTTTGGTTTGATTCTGGGAACCTTGGGGCGGCAAGGAAGTACAAAGGTTTTAACAACTCTCAAGGTAGGTCGGAATATCAGCTCATTTATACAGTAGAACCTCTCTTTACCGAAATAAAGCGGGGGAGGTATTTTCGGATTTAACCAACATTTTGGTTAAACAGAAAGGATATTTTAAACTTTAGTTTTAAATGTGATGAGAATAAAACATTAACTACCGGTATGCTACAACCTTCACATGCATGTTTCCAATTTTGGAATATATTTTGTCTCATTACCAAGAGAAACCTTTCTTTTCTTTCTTAACCCTTAAGCACGCGCACTAATTTTTTTTCTTCTTTTTTTTCTCTTGGACCCCCAAATAAAAATGGTTATTTGGTTATTGGTTATATACAAAAAAAATTTTGATATTTACCTCTTTAAACTTAAGACGTAATGGTAATATCTATATTCATTTTCTCATATTGTTACGTAAATTTTAAAATCCTACCATATCCTTTAATTAATTTGAAAATAATAGTTTTAACCCTTAACTTGTTTCATGATGAAACATAATCATGTTGTTAAAGAGGGGGAAATCGTAGTTAACCAAGTTTTTATTGCAAACCAATATTATTTTTATTTTACAAAAGTGTAATATTTGTAAAAAACCATGGAACCAGTAAATATTTCATGAATTTTCATTTCCCAGTTTGTAGAAAATACTGAACAAAATATAAAAAAATTAAATTTTTCTTTGATAATGTGTTTTTCCTTATAACTCCTCATCCATTGGTTGGTTTAGAAGTCCTTTTAAACAAACTTCACAAATATTTTGTTCACTGGCACATTGGTTTTTTTAAGGTTTTACATTTAATTTCGTCTTGACATATTTTTGTCCAAGGCAGACAGTGCACCCCGCCTTTGCACTGCGAGGTTAGATCAGTGGACTCCATGGTTGGACATTTTCATCCAATTGGTTTACAGATAGACTACAACGTTTTTTGACAAAATTTCAATACTATCAAAAGTATAAATAAAAGTTTATAAAGTTATTAATACTAATTATGATAATAAAACTGAGACACTACTTATGCCGCGGACGGGGGTATACTAGACCCCCCAATACAAAATGTATTATACATTTTTTTAAATTATTAACTAAGTACGGGTCATACACATTCTTTTTCAGAGACTTGTTGTCCGCAGAATTTTTTGGGTCACCGGAATTTTATCCCCCTGGAATTTTACCCCCTGGGCAAAGCTGACATCACTATGACGTAGTAACCTGAGCGCTCTCAAGTTTTTTTGGCGGGCGGAATTTTGCCCCCACAGATTTGGGAATCTAATGAAAATAGACAGAGCGTTATAAATTAGATTAGCAATGAAAACCGGAATTTTACATCCTGTCCATATAACTAGCGTTTAGGCAACTGTAGATGTACGGCCCGGATTTTTATCCGCCGGAATTTTACTCACTATGCAGATACAGACATTAGTGAGAATAATTAATTTTCTTATTTCAGTTTTGATTGAATAGTAAACATCTTACTTTTAGGTAGCCTATCTTAATTAATTTGTAACCTCAACTAAATAAACAGGTTTCGCTTTTTAATTGTGAGTAGGCCTATGATAAATCGTTAGAGAAATATTTGAAACAATTAATCATCATTCATATGGGCTACTAAGTTTGTTTGGATACATAATAACCAACAGTTGGCCCCAAAAACCGAACTCCAAACTAGAATCTCAAAATTAAAACACAAAACCTGTTTTATTAGTTAAAGTTACTAATAATAAGATAGGCTACTTAATAATAAAATATTTAATATCAAATTAAAACTCAAAGAATAAAATTAATTATTCTCACTATTTTCTATATCCAGCTAGGAAGTAAAATTCCGGGGGTAAAAATCCAGGCTGTAGCCTACATTTTTAGCTGACCTCATGAAGGGGATAAAATTCCGGCCCGTACATTCTAGGTGTTATAATTTGACGTGTTCTGATTAAATTAATAAGCGTGAAATATTTGTTTAATTCAACCTTTAATTTATTGAACTGATGTGCAGCTCAAAAGTTCGCGGCCAGAGTTTTACCCCCTAGGTTGTGACATCAATTTTGCTCGGGGTAAAATTCCGCTACCCCCATTTTTTTACCACTAGACTATTAACACTTTTGTCTTTCCCGTACTTATTTTGTATCATGTGAATCATTTTATTGTCCTTATTGATGTGAAAACACACTTGTGATTTCAGGACAGACTTGAAACAGCCTCAAAGAAATCTGTGATAATCCTTCTCTCTGAGATATTCCCGAGTAAACTAGAGCTGTTCGGAGACGTGGGAGCATTCATACAAGTGGCTTGTCCACGGTTGTCTATAGACTGGGGCACAGCGTTCCCCAAACCTCTACTCACACCATACGAGGCAGCAGTGGCCTTAGGTAACATACAGTGGAACACCAAATACCCCATGGACTTCTACGCTTCCAACAGCCTTGGACCTTGGACTCCGAACCATAAGCCAGAGGGTTGTTGTGGCAAAGGCTGTAGTAAGGATAAATAAAGCATTTGTAAATTTGTATTCCCAGGAAAATTTTGATGATTCTTTCATTTAATTTACACCAAGATCTCTTGGTCGGAGTAATCGCATGAGTACCTTGGATAATTGAAAGCCAAGGATAGGAAAATCACGAATCAGGAAAACAATAAATACTGATCAAACAGGCAACATACTCATACATAACAATTTATGGAATTACAGTCAAACGGACAATTGCTGAATCAGTGAACAAATTTATGAACAGAAACATAAAGGATGGACAGTATTAACAGGTTTGGTTGTTTGTGTTATTGTCTAATATTCTCAGCCTATTTTCTACCTGCCTACACAACACGGAATACCCAATAGGCAAGCAGGTTGTCATCATAACTTACCATTTTGAATTGAAACTACAGCACTAAATGTAATCTTTCAAAAGTGGAGGAATTAAACAAAACAAAAATGTGTATATAGATTTTATATTCAATAAAACAAATTTTAAATACATAAAAAATGGGAATAACAATATTGCTCTACTTACTAACCTACATAACAACGGTAATATTGAGCATAAAATATCTTTTTATGGGGGATTTATACGATACTTCTCTTAAGGTGAATCAATGTTCCAATACAACCTTGTTGATAATAAATATTTTATGACGGACTATACATTGGTTATAAAAAAAAGGATACTAGGCCTACAAGAAAAAAAACTATTAGTTTTTGTTTCTAATTCATTCACAAATTTAAATCCCCCATAAAAACAAACAAGATATAACTGGATTGTATGATAGAATTACTGATGAAAGATTGTTGAATGTTACATTTCCAAAGAGCCTTTAGATTTTAAATTATTCATTTAGACAGTTTTTTTTGTTTTGTTTGTCAAGCAGGTTCCTCTTATGAACAAGATATCAAATTATTACTTCATGATTTAAAAGCCCCCAAATATAATAATATATCTAATCTGCTACTCATAACCATACCGTAAACAATGTATTTAAAATGTAAATAAAATATAATTAATTAATTCTGCTTTAGAGGAAGTTACTTGTCCAAAAGTACAACACACATCAAAGTACAGGGTGTTTCAAAAAGGACTAAAGGACTTTACAACTTTCATAGCTTGTAGAGGAAACCATACAAACTCTGTCCAGTTTTGGTGCCAAAATTAACTGTAATAATTCAAGCTCTTTACCCCAAGACCAACAAGGCTCAAAAAGTATTAATTGTATTTCAAACAACCCATCATCACAATTCAGAACAAATATATCAATATCTCTTAACTTAATGATTCGATAGTCACATTAGTAACTACAAAAAAGGCAACTAGAATTGGGTAACAATATTGTACGCATTTTGAATACTAAACCTATTTAGGTATAAGTTTGGAGACTATGTACAAATAAACAATATAAATATAAAAGTGAATACACAATACAATAAAATTGTCTTACATTTGCCAAACATTTCTGGTTTAGATCAGTCAAAAGATTATTGAGGACCATTTCCATGCTAAAATAATGGACATAGTAGAATCACCACTGACAGCAGGAGTTGATCGCCCGCTGGTGTAAATTAATGATTTTTGTCGAATACACCAACTTTTTAACCAAGTGAAACTTATTGTAAAACATAACATTGTAAGTTATAGCACATTAAGGTCACATCTAATACCTCAGAAACAAAAAAATAAGGAGAAAATAATATTTTACATGATAGCACCCTGTGTGAGTTGATTATTCAATTATATTTTTTAATTAAAAAACCCGTGCAATTGTGATTGATAGTTTAGTGGACAGGGTTGATTCATTTGAAATATTTTGTGTCTTTTGCTGGCTTTTTTAATCTATACTTATTTAATACGCAAGCAGGATTTTTGTGACAATTACTCCTCCGAAACTACTGAACCGATTGTCATGTTTTTGGTGTCATTGGAAAGAGCGTAGCGTGAAATTGTGCAGGAAACTTTCTCTTTAGGGAAATAATGAGAGATTGAGGCCCTGGAGCCCTTTAAAGTTTCGTATTTCTCACAGACCGGGGGTTTCGGTTAATGTCAGCCTATGTGGGGTTTCGGATTTCGGTAGTGTTAAACAACCTAAACTTTTATCAACAACTTACAGAAGAGTTTCTGATTTGGCATGAAAATAATTTAAAAGAGCTAAGAAGTAGATTAGGCCTCTAGATGGTTTTATAACCATGCTCAATTTTCATTCAGTAAAAAAAATTAATTATCAGTAAACACTTGAAAAATTATCTTTATCTTACAATAGAGCTGTTTTCACAATCAGTTTACAGGTTAAAACAGTTGCTGCATGTCTAATATGAAATAAAAGAGAGGAGATTCTACTTTAAAAGATAAATTCAATATGAGACTCACAATGCTTAAAAGCTATCAACAGTTCAATTCATCAAAGAATGTAGTCCAATTACTGGTATTATACTCCTAGATGATTCCTTTCTATTTTTTTAAAAAGACTATTTCAATATATTTAACTGCAACAATTTTTTTTAGAATACCAACTTTGGTTATATTTTTCAAAAATTACAATTGGAATCATTAGTATTCATGATAAGTACTTTGGTAGACTTATAATTAATCTCTCAACGGTAATACAACAAATAAAACCCCAACTAACATACCTAGTCCTTTAAACTGAACACACTTAGTTTCTGCATAACAATCTCTGAAAAATCCATCAAAAGATTGATTTTCATTTTCTTTAACGAGGATAAATCTACCTAACAATACTTTATTTACACAGTATATTTTTGTAGTATTGAAAAGAAAATAGTCGATTTTATAGTAATATCACAGGTAAAAACCATACACATGCAATAATATCCCATCACTAGTATCCAAAGTGATTCTTGTCAACACCAGCTCAAGTCCAACAGTCGTTGCAAAATAATTAGGAATTAGTGAGGATTTAAAAGACTTTGGTCCATGTAATGAACGATATTTTTTTGTCATACTGCACCAGTTTTTGAGGCAAACTAACTCTCAAAATGGGTGTTTTGCTATAATAAAGTTATAGCTGATAGCATTTCACAGAAAGTTAAATGCAAAAGGTAGGCTACTCCTCTAATGAAATGTAAAATTGTAGTAAACTCGAATCAATTTTAATAATAATACAATGGTAATAGTATACTTATTAAAATTGGAACTATTTTTTTTTAATCAGCGGACCAGTTTATAAGGCCAAAAAATGTACAGCTGAAGCCCTCGAATCTCGATTCTTTTTTGCCTTAAATATAAAAGAGACATACCTTAAGCCCGCAATGCATGTATTAAAAGAACTTTTTTTCTCTGCAGCATGACAAAAACTATATTTTTCACTTAAAATCTAAAAAATATAAGGATCATTCAGTACTTTATGTATAATTGATAAAAATTATTCCAGATAAATAATATATAGCCTACATACTAACCTACATTAAAAAATAAAATATGTTTCGTTTTGTGATTAATCAGATATTTTTGTTGTTGTAAAGCCTATAAGAAATCAGATCCTTAAGTCTAAAATACTACGATCAGTACCACAACTGTAATAGACATTTACAACAATTTGGTCGAGCTGTTCTACTTAAGCCATATACCTCTCTCTAGAAAAGTGATATTATGGTTCTTCTCTTTACTGATCAATATCTGAAAAAGCAAAGAGAGTAAGTATTTATATATATTGATATATATATTGATAATATATTGACAATATATTGATTCAACAACAAAATTTTGACATCAAAATAGAATAGAAGAATGAAATAGAACAGAAAGGAAACACTTGGGAGCAGTCTCAGTACTTCGCTTTTGACTCTGGAATGATTTAAATCAATGAGGGGTTTTATGTAGAAGAGACTGTCTTATATAAGACAGATACAAAAAGTTTCTGCATGCAAGTACTGATATCATAGTCGTAGACTTTTCTACTATATTTAGACACATTGTTATCAACCCTAGTCTTTAAGTTGCAATCCTCCAATTATATTTCATAATTACTAATTTTATTAAAAATAAATTTTCTACACTTTAAGATTAGATTTGTAACATTTTAATTATATATTTTTATAACAACACCAGGCAACAAAACCACATACATTTGAATTATATTGGTAATGGCCAGACCACATCACTCAGCAAGTAAAATATTTAATAAACTGCCAGAATATTAAGACATGTCTTAAGACTTATGTCTTAAGAAGACATATGAAGGAATGCATTTCACGGCGTCCAAAATAGTTTTTGAGCTGTTTCTCGACGTCCAAATCTCACTGTGTCTAAAAGTACAGTAACTGTAATAAACTTAGTGTTTCTATAAGCTCTGGATGTCATGAGATTGGTCGTCGTGAAACAGCGCACATTAAACTCTTAAAAAAGTAGCAATTGCACCACATCCAATAGGGCAGAGCTGTCCCACGACGTCCAGAGCGCCTGCACACTGTGAATTCTGTTTTACCGTCTGTAGATTTAGTAACTAAACCTAACCGAACCTATTTAACGTTGCTCTATATGCAGCAGCTCTGGACGTTGTGCAACTGGCAGCAGTTTTGAACGTGGTGCTACTCTAAGTTATGAAGAGTGTAAAGTGCGCTGTTGCACGACGACCAATCCCATGACGTCCAAAGCTTGTAGAAAGACTATGTTTTTTGCAGTTACTGAACTTTTGGACATGATGAAATTTGGACCTCGTGCAACAGTCGAATAGTTGTATTGGACTTTGTGAGACAGCTCAAAAACTATATTTTGGACGTTGTGGCACTGACTTATATCTTTGACTATTAATACAACAACTCCAATAGTCAATGCTTATATCTTTGGACGTCGTGAGTGCTCCCATAGGAAGCTGCCAAAATAAAAACATTTTCAAGAAAAGGCTCAAGAACTACTGAATAGAAAAGGCCTACTACAAATTAGAAGAATAAGAAAAACTAGGCCTTATAACTGAATAAGATCTTTAACAACCACGGCTGGAAAGCTACTAGTGGCATCATCACAAGTATACAAGTAAGTAAATTTATTAAATAAAAAACCATTCCATTATCATGATGTCATGGGGCTACAAACCAAATAGTTTGAATTTAATAATAATAATAGTGAAAAAGCTAGTCACCTTTTTTTAGATTGAACCGGCAACCTTCTGATGTTCTGAATGTTCACTCAAGCTATTTGGTACTTTGGTATTATCCGGAGGCCAACTCTTATACAGTGCGCTGCGGCGGTTATCTAGGACTTTCTTCGTTTCGTTATGAATCAAACGATACTATATGAGTCATCACTCAGGAAACTGACCCATAGAAGCGCCGTGACAGGTATTGCACACGCTCTGGTCAACGACCTGACTTGGCCTAATTGGAGAGGATTTGGTGTGCGAAAGTAAGACTCATCTGGGATCTTTTGATTCATAACGAAACCAGGAAAGTCCTACAGACATATTTATGACAACCAACCTGACATAACCGCCGCAGCACGCTGTATACCTACTTGGCGAAGTACATGTGACAGCTAGCGGCGGCGACGCATTCAACTCGATCCTCACCGACATCGCTGCATTCTGGGAGGCAGAACTCTAAGGCCGCTAATCGTAATCATATCAATTAAAGTATGTTCTATTCGATTATGTTGTTACTTTTGGTTTCCAGTAAAAAGATCCCTGTGAAATAAGTGGCCTCGGGATAGTACCAAAATTTAATGTAATTTTTAATGAATATTGTTTTATCAAATTATTGTAAAATAATTTATTTGATTGATAACATTTAAATCGCTAAGACTACTAATATTTACCTCAAGACGATCTATAAATACTCCATCTAGTATTCTTACGCGTAAGTCGAGCACACACTGAAATAAAAACAAAAAATTGTTAAGACTCAAGATCACCTGAAGAATGCAGAAATGTTATGTTCTATATTGTTTGATGTAAACTAAGCTACAATTTAAATTTATTGAAATATGTGTAGTTATTAAACAAAAATAATGTCAAAAAAGAGATTATTTTAAAGAAACCATCAAAAAATAAACTAATTCATGGTGTCTACTCTCCGGGAAATTCGGGAAAACCGGGAAAACTCCGGGAATTTTATCTTACCTTGAAATGTCCTGGAAAACTCCAGGAATCCACCCGAACCTCCGGGAATCCACAGCCCGGTCATCGGAATCGTCGGCTAACCAAACACTGTTGCTTTTGTTGCCGAAATCGCGGGAGACGATTATCGGTGTCGCCGAAACGGCAAGATATCCTCACGGGTATTGCCGCGATCGCGGGAGACGATTATCGCCATTATCGGTGTCGCCGAAACCGCAGGATATGCTCACGGGTATTGCCGCGATCGTGGGAGACGATTATCGGTGTCGCCGAAACCGCAGGATATCCTCACGGGTATTGCCGCGATCACGGGAGACGATTATCGGTGTCGCAGAAACCGCAGGATAGGCCTATGCACACGGGTATTGCCGCGATCGTGGGAGACGATTATCGGTGTCGCCGAAACCGCAGGATATGCTCACGGTTATTGCCGCGATCGCGGTAGACGATTATCGGTGTTGCCGAAACCGCGATATATGGTCACGGGTATTGCCACGATCGCGGGAGACGATTATCGGTGTCGCCGAAACCGCAGGATATGCTCACGGGTATTGCCGCGATCGCGGGAGACGATTATCGGTGTCGCCGAAACCGCAGGATGTGCTCACGGGTATTGCAGGATATGCTCACGGGTATTGCCGCGATCGCGGGAGACGATTATCATCGGTGTTGCCGAAACCGCAGGATATGCTCACGGGTATTGCCGCGATCGCGGAAGACGATTATCGGTGTCGCCGAAACCGCAGGATATGCTCACGGGTATCGCCGCGATCGCGGAAAACGATTATCGGTGTTGCCGAAACTGCAGGATATGCTCACGGGTATTGCCGCGATCGCGGAAAACGATTATCGGTGTTACCGAAACCGCAGGATATGCTCACGGGTATTGCCGCGATCGCGGAAAACGATTATCGGTGTTGCCGAAACTGCAGGATATGCTCACGGGTATTGCCGCGATCGCGGAAAACGATTATCGGTGTTGCCGAAACCGCAGGATATGCTCACGGGAATTGCCGCGATCGCGGAAAACGATTATCGGTGTTGCCGAAACCGCAGGATATGCTCACGGGTATTGCCGTGATCGCGGGAGACGATTATCGGTGTCGCCGAAACCGCAGGATATGCTCACGGGTATTGCCGCGATCGCGGAAAACGATTATCGGTGTTGCCGAAACCGCAGGATATGCTCACGGGTATTGCCGCGATCGCGGAAAACGATTATCGGTGTTGCCGAAACCGCAGGATATGCTCACGGGTATTCCTGCGATCGTGGGAGACGATTATCGGTGTCGCTGAAATAATAAAATATGCGAACCTGTTTTGCCGCGATCGGTTGCCTGTGTTGATTAGACTGCAAGATATGCCTTACCTATTAGTTTTACTGTTTTATTATGTTGTATAAAATATTTTTCTTTGGAAAAGTTTTGATTTAAATTAAAATAATCATTAATAGTAATAATAAATTATTATTAGCGGGTTGCGATTAGTTGAACGGGTTCCGATAGTAGTTCTTAAAATTCAGGAATTTGTCTTGAATTCTCCTGGAAAACTCCTTGAATTTTTCAAACCAGGTTTAGTAGACACCATGTAATTTGTTTCAAAACTACTTCAAAATGTCTTTAATGTGGGTACTACTGGTTAGTGGAAACGTAACAGGCAAGCCTGTAAACAAGGCAATTCAGAAAAGAAAAACATTTACAGAGTAAAAGCAAGGCTTACAAGTGACTGGAGAATGTCCAAAGGGTCAAATATTTGATCATCCAGTAATTGATTAAATTGTTATTTTAACAGATAACAGAATTCCAAACATCAGTGTAAAAATAGCTGATATACCAAACATTGCTTCAGAATTTAAATATTGTAATTTTTTAGTAGCCTACAAACAATTGTTAAGAATACAGTAATCTTTAAACAGGTAATTTTTATTTTTAAGGCTCTCATACTGTAGTGTATAATACATACTGTAGAGGCTGGAGTTTAATTGAAAAACTAAATCAACTTTATTTAATAATGGCTATTGACTTATTAAGTTTTGTTCAAGGAAAGGCTCTAGGCCAGGATCTTGAATTGTAGAATAAGGAGTAATAAGGAGAATAGCAACTGGCTTACCTTTAAGAACTGTAGGTAGGCTATGAACATACAGAATAGACACTGAAAAATCCCCCAGGGGAGGAAATATTATGTGTCCATCCAGTGTTTCTTCTGAATGTTCTATGGCCTACCTACACTTAAGCTAGCTGATATCCTCCTTATTGACTTATTAACTTAGTCCAACTTGAAATAAATTTCCATCTATGAAGGGGAGTTCACTTTCTTTTTTGGGAAAAGGTTACCAGCCTCTTTTAACCTTGCATTTGGCCATCCACATTGGTTTCAGGAACCTATCAAGAAAATCAAAGGGGTGAGCCGGGCTTAGTAAAATAATGGATGATCCAATAAATATTAGTGGCGGTACCAGACTGCTGACCAAAGACATCGCTATCTAGGTTTCTCAGTTTTTCGTGCTACAGACTGAGCTATACTTATCTTTTAAATGCAATAGGCTAAAGATAAGTTGTCAACTTTAGAATACAAACAAGGTTTAAGTTGTAAGCTAACACATAACTAACTGTAAAATTCAGTAACAGTCTGTCAAGCTACCCATTGAGCCACCAACTCATCCTTTATTTGCAATTAATTTGAATGGATGAAAGGGAGGAAAGATTTATCATTTTCAATTCTAAGCATCTCAACAGTTTAGAGAACCATCCCGGTTATTCATAAACATAACAGCCTGTTTCTTAATTTTGAATTTCCATCTTTGTTATCTTTGCTTTTAAGGTCACACCACATATTTAGTAATTTAAGTTGAATTTGGGAGAAGAATGAATGTAGAGAATAAAGTAGTGTAAAATTATTTGTATAGCTTTAATTACTAAGACCAGCTATTTCATTTTCTAGGATTCATTTATTAAAAACCCAATAATCAAGGATAGCTAGGCTCAATTTTGAACCATAAAAACTGGCTTTCCTTAGAACCAACCGGCAACCTTTAGATTTTAAAGTGAGCACTATAACAACTGACATACTAATTTGTATCGATTATCACGATACAACATTGCGCAACAGGTAGGCCAACTCACAGGTTTTGTCGTGAACGCTGAGGGGCCGAGCTGTGACACTCTCTATTGCGCTAATCCACGAGTCGCGGTCCGGCGCAGTGTTGGCCGACAGGTTATACCAGCGCTCGGGCGTGCGCAGCGTGAACGAGAATCCTTGGTCTCGCGCACCCGGCTGTACACCCACCCGCACACTGTAGCCGTCTAGCATGTGACCCAGGAATATCTCACCTTTGGGATGTGCGTCCTGAAATATGTGATGATTATAGTCAAGAAGTATACAACCTTAATACCTTAATAATAAGTCACAATTGATAGTAGGTGTGGAGTTCATAAAGGGTCAACCGTTTTAATTCATACTTGGTGAGATCGACGATTTTTCCTGCTATTGTTAACAGTTGCTACGAAAATATCGTAGGTCACATAAAAATGAGAAGAAAAGTAGTGGGAATTCCAAGAATATTACAGTAGGCCTAGTGTTACATATGAGCTTGCTTCATCTTGAAAAGACCCTAAGTATAATAATGTAATGTCTCAGGCTACTTAGATAAAACCGGACATCGGTAATGTGGTTAAATATTACTGTACTCTAAATTGTTTTTTGTACTAAAAAAATGTACGAGGTCTGGAATTTCTTTAACCCTTTGAAAATTCTCTACCTTGAAATGTACTCAAATGTGGGCAAAATGCTTAAGAGAGATCTTACTAATATTATAAATCTGAAAGTTTGTGAGTTTGTGTGTATGTTTGTGTGTATGTTTGTGTGTATGTTTGTGTGTGTGTTGCTCAATCACGCATAAACTACTGGACGGATTGGGCTGAAATTTGGCATGCTGATAGCTCACATTCCTGATTAACATTAAAGCATATTCTTATCTCAAAAACCCTTTCGGGCTCCGCCCCAGTGGCTCTGTAGTTCCCCATGTTAATCTTATGATTTTTCATATTTAAAAGGAATAAATGAATCTTAACAGCTGTCTCAATTAAACAAGTTGGTTCTGTTCTATGATGTTCAACAGCATAAAAGTTACAAGGATTACCAACAGGGTGCAGCACTATTAATTTTTTTTAAATTTATGACAACAGCTAATTTCCAACCAAAAGGTGAGTGAGCGTAGCGAACGAACTTCAACCTTGAGGCGAGTTAGCGTAGCGAACGAGCTTACCTGAAGGCAAGTGAGCGCAGCGAACGAGCTCCAACCTAAAGGTGAGTGAGCGTAGCGAACGAACTTCAACCAGGATGTGAATGAGCCATGCGAATACTTATTAAGTTAAACGGGGCGAAGCCCGCGGGTACAGCTAGTAATTTATAAATACAAATTTTGTCTTTTGCTTTAAATAGGAAAACAAACCGTGTCATATCTAAAAATAGTCAAACGAAGACCCCTGTTTCTTTTAAAAATAATTAAATAAATTTAGGTATAAAATTTACTTGAATTCTACTGTGATAATCAGGCATTTTTAGAACAATACGTTTTGCCTACTGTACCAGACATGATATCTAAACTAAATTTGTTATCTTACTAATATTAAATGTGAAAGTTTGTGTGTTTGTTTGTTTGTTTGTGTGTTTGAAGTTCAATCACGCATTAATTACTGGATGGATTGGGCTCAAATTTGGTATGATGATAGCTCACATTCCCAATTAAAATATAGGCATATTTTTATCTCAAAAATCCTTTCGGGCTCCGCCCCAGTGGCTCTAGCGAGTTTCCCATGTTAACCTTATGAGTACTCATATTTAAATGGAATTAAAGAATTTAGTCAGCTGTTTGAACTAAAAAGGTTGGTTCTATGATATGCAAAGGCATTAAAAGTTATAAGATTTACCAACAGGATGCAGCACTATTATTTTTTTTCATTTATGAAAACAGCTAATTTGAACTAAGCAGCAACAAAACACTGTGATACACAATGAGAACTGTCTGTTTACAGTTATGTTTATGTTTTTAATTTCACGAATAATTTGTGATATTTTGTGAATCTTTAATAATTTAGTTTTTTCTATTGTTTGGGTGAAGTGGTAGAACATATGGTAGATGTGTAATAATATAGTATACCGTAAATTTAAAGAAGCAATTTTTTCATACTTTGTCCTCCCTCATTGCTTAGCTAAGCTTGAGTATAACTGTACTAAGCATTTTATACTTATATGCCACTCCCGTACGAAGGACGGGTACTCTGCTAGTAAATTGTATAAATACAACATTAAAACAAGTCCCTTTTAACTGACTAATGGCAAATAAAGCCAAAGATAAATATTGCCTTTATTTCTGTATTAACTATTAATCAATATATTGACACATGCCTTTATCTGTTATTGCTATGCAGACCAATCTTTAACTTATTTCAGTGTATTAAGTCAATTCTGAACAATTGTAGGCCTACTTCATCAAAGAAATCTGAATGATCCGCAAAAATAAAATGTCCAGTGGATGGCAAAAGGGAAATGGAAAGCAAAAGCCAAGTCGCTGTTTTATGGTTTAAAATAGCTAGAGTAACCTGAAAAAATTCCAGATAAAATTTACAGTCCAAAAGCTTTTAAATGAATAATAAAATGTCATGTTACAAAACACTGATAATTTGTACTCGTATAGGACTAGTTTAAAGAGTCAATCAGAAGATAGAAAAAGTGTTTTTAAGTAGTTCACTATCAACACCAACAACATTTTGCTATTCGCAATTAAGTAAGATTACTTCTAAAACGCATCATGTCAGACAATCCTCAACATGTACTGCAATGTAAGGGAATTGGATGTTGTGCGGTACCCGGTAGTGTCAAATTTTATTTGCTACACATATTTTGGCCGTTCTTTAACTCCACCATCGTCAGGCTTGTAAAAGGATCTACTTCTGGAGGTGTCATCAGAATACGTTACAAACATTTAACACAAAAAGATTACAGATAGGCCTATCAATTCACGTGTGTACATTGCCACAGGCAGGACTGGAGATGAACTGAATCAGGTGGCAGGTTATGACGGACCGACGTGATCTCTGGATTGTCGCCTATAAGTTTCTATAAATGAATTTTTTGTTTTTTCATTAAGCCTAGGCGCAGGCCCCATATTTTAGATCCCATTCCAATTCGTATTTTCGTTCGTTTTTGCATTTTAGTTAGAATTGACTAGTTCTTTGTCAGTGCGTCGCTGTGCTGATACCGTGTTGTCGTGCGACATAGTGGTGATCAGTATTCGGTGTGTCAACGTACACCATGTTGTACTCGTGTCGTTTGTTGTAGATCGACGCAATAGTATCTCCCGAATGCTGAAAAGTAGTAGTGAGCGACAGCGACAGTTTGGCGTGAGAACCCTTGATGTCTCAAGCTGTCCGAGCAAAAGGCAGTAAGTTTGGGCTAGGTTACTCTAACCGGAACTAAACACCTCACAAAGGAACTTAAAAGATCTCACTAAGCTGGCATTTAATTGATTGGATTGATTGTTTTGTTGACTGTACAAGGTCAATGTAAGTGAATTAATCTTAGGCCTACTTGATGACTCAAATCTATTCGAGTGAAGGAAAGATAAATAAACCAAATTAAAAATCAGATAAACATTTGGTTTTTGGAAGTGATTCATACCCATTTGCTGGCTTGGGTGACTCTAAATCAACAACTTAGTAAATCTTCGATATAACCAGTGACTTGACTTAAGATAATCAAATTAGACTCAACATGAAATCAAGAGAATGTTGACGTTTGTTTGACATTTGTTGACAGTGGTTTAGATAAATATTGAGTAGGAACACTGACTCAGAGACTTTATTTTATGATGTCACATAGACTAACACTGAAAGCAAAGCCACATATTTCATCTCATAACTTGGACTTACAATACAAGTAATGAAGAATAAGAACAATGTCAAAAATATTTTATCATGCGTGAAACATGTATTTTATTTGTTTTTGTGTTTCGGTGCTAAGGGCATTTGTTAAAGATTTGAAAGGAAACAGTCCAAACCCTGGTCTTGTTACTATTGAATATATATAAAAAAATACTCCTTTATAAACTAATTGAGCCTTAAGATCAACTATAAGAAAATTTTAAGGAGGGATGGATTACACACACAGAATGGATTACGAACACTTCACAGTTCGTGGCATTTTCAATTAACACAGACATTTTAAACTGTCACAGTAACTCAACGGAGTACAGCAGAAACCTCTTACTAGCACGTCTAGATGCCGACTGAGCTGCATAATGAACTAACACCAAGATGGTCGCGCTAGCCCCGCCCCTAGCGGATACAGACAAAAACGTAATCTACTTTCTGGATAGCCCTCGTATTATTATTTTTGTATTTAACCAGTCTGTCATAAATCAATAGGTATTTAAAAATGTTAAAAAATCAGGTTAAAATGTGGCACGTGCATTTCCCGTTATGTATGAGAAGGGAAATCCCGTCACGATCTCATCTCAAAATTTTATGGGAAATAAAAAATCAAACTAAAAATCCAATCTCGTCCAACCCTAATTTTAAGAAATGTTATGTTAGGTATTTTTGAGGACAAATTTTATTTATTTATCAGACCAGTTTAAATAATGCTGTCTTTGCTATCTTTTTATGTCATTTTTTCATTGGCCATTATGAATTGAAATTCCCTAGAGCTATTAGAATTAAATATGCATTGGGGCTATGAGACCTTTCCTACTTAACTCACCAATTTGTCTTCATGATACATGAGTTTCCGGCCGTCGAGTGTGAACCACCGTTTCCTGTAGGAATCTGTTATCCTCGGTCCAGTCTTCCATAACCACCCTTCCTTGATGAAGTCTTGTGTCAGCAACCCTACAAGCTGAAACATGACGTAATGCAATGGAAGATATACTAGACGAGCTATGTTAAAGACCTGTGGTCAGATTGTTTTATTACTGGGAGGTTTTCATTTAAACACTGAGCGGTCTTGCACCCAGTAGACCACCAGAGGTAGAGAAAGGGGTCAGTCAGCTGAGCAGGGTGCCCAAAGGTCAAGTGAGTACTGGTCTAAAGGTTAGGCCCTTTCCGTAGAAATGTTTGAGATAAAGTTTTGGTTAAAAGGGGTATACAGTCAAAGAGTTTATTTGGATCTCGATTTTTTTAGTTAGAGCTCATTGTTTAGGTTTTCAATAATAAAGAAGCTGTGTAGCAATGTAACTCGTTTGGGGATATTTGAATTTTAGCGTGAGCTAACTGCAGGACGCTACCAGTACTATTAGTCTTATTCAAATTGTATTTTGTGTATTACATGCATTGTATGTCTGTTATATTGTGCAATCTGTCATTCAGATGACTAGACACAGGCCAAAATCCACTCAAATCTTCATTAAGGTGTGATTCTCCTAGACTCAAAATTAATTAATATTGGTGCTCAGATAGTATGGCTACATAGAGTAATGAGAAAGTATTTGCTCATACATCATCTTCATGTGCTCCAGGAAAGGCTACTTGTAACTGCTGCAGTTTGAAGTAGCGAATTGCCTGATACCAGTGTATGATGGTTTGCAGGTCGTCGTGGTAGATGAAGATATGCCGTGTCGTACCATCGCGCAGATATGTCAGCTGTAGCCCAGTGCGCAGCAAAATCAGCTGTAGACCATTGCGCTCTGACCATCTGTCCGAGATAAACGACACATTTAGATCACCCAGTCGGATCACTACCTTTGGCTCCTTGTTCTGAAACAACGATTAACAATAAAAACATCGAAGAAGTATATTCTCTGTGATGCAGCATGTGCTGGTCAGTGTCTTGCCAGATCACAAATTAGATTATAGCATAACCTAAATATACTCTCTTTTAGATTTGCCATTCTTATAGACCTGATGAATACAATTTTTAGGTTAGTTCTGTTCAGTTAATGTTTAGTGTATTTTGTTATTTACTACTGTATTTACTTTGAAATTGTTGTGTGAAATTGTTGAACCAAATCAAAGATTCTATTTAGAAAAAAAAATAGCTTGTCCTCTAGTATTATAGGCCGATCCAAACAGCAAAGAAAAATCACAAAAAAATGTTAAGTCAACATCAACACAATCTAAGCATCAACAACATTAAACCAATGTGTTCCAGATTTTACAATAGAAAATAAATTGAGAAGACTACAAGGACTATTCAATACTTTTTTTTCATAGGTGTTAAATTAATCTAAAAATTGACTGTTGTAACTTAAATAGACTACTCCTACATTGGTAAACTTGCTGCTTACCACTTTTAAAATACGTTGTAGTGTGTAGGTCTAATAAATATATTTTGGAACCAAGATTATCAAAGTATGAATAAACATCTTAATATTAATCGTTTTAAATAAATGAGCTACACATACAAAAGGAAAAATTTTCACTGCTATAACTTAAGATTTTATGTAGGCCTATTACAGGCACAACTATGGCAAATAGCGAGCTTGTCTCAAGTTAAATGCTGCTGTGTGGGGAAAAGTGGCTGATTCACACCCATAACACTTGGAAATACTATGAAAGTTTCTTTGAGTTGGAAATAGAGCGCTCGATTTGCGGCAGAACGGCGCTCCAGTACTTCTCAATTATTTGATGAGGGTGCATAGGTGGGAGGGGGGGGGTCATAATTCCTGGTAGGTTAAAGTTCCAGCGCCCATTTTTTACAAATCAAGCACTGTGTAAATACAAATTAACTATAAAAATAGTTACTTCCCTATAAGGAAATACGCTAAAAACGAACGACCAAAGGAACAGTGGAATTAACAGATTGTTACCTCTTTTACATAGTACCTCAGGGTGTCATCTTCCAGCACAAACTTGCGAGGCCGACATGCATCGTCCTCTTTTCCCTTCTTCATCAGATAACCCTCCAGATTGCCACACATGTAGCTCGGCCGTTGATCGTTGCTCATGAACTCTCCTCTTTGGTATTTGGCACAAATCCAGTCTTCCAGCAGTGGCCTGGGTAGTTTCCAAATAACATTTAATGAAATTTAGCAGATAAGTCTCATGTGTTTGGTTTAAAAGTTTGTACCTCAGGATATTAAACCTCAGGATGTACCTCAGGACCTGTGATAAGTCTGTAACTTTGCATCTAAATCTGTAAATTATTTCTATATAGTCTATTTTTGTTTTCTGCAGGACTAAGCAAGAGACAGACCCTCGTAACCCATTACACGGCCACCAACCTGCAGAGCGACAGCTTCGGTCCAGAAAGAACTCTCAAGCAATCGGGTGGCAAGGTGGGAGGCCATGTTGAGTAACCCTCACATACCAGCCAGGGAGGAACTGGCTCCTGGTGGAGGCCTTCATTACACGGTGTGGAAGACCCTAAATCGAATCAGGGTCGAGGTACCAAAATGCAAGACAAACATGCAGAAATGGGGTCTCTTACCAGACGAAGAGAACATCTTGTGCGCGTGTGGTGCTGTTCAGGATCCTGGCCATCTGGTATGTTAATGTCTAGACCAGTCTTGCACATTAGATGATCTTTTACAAGCGAATGACAAAGCCATTTCGGTAGCTAATTTTTGGAACAGCGAAGTCTGATTTCCGGACACGGAAAGTATGTAAGTAAGTGTTTTCTTCAACTTTGTTAATTATTAACTTTGTTCATTTGTTAATTGTTTATAGTCTATTGTGATTGTTAACCCTGTAGTTAAAAGGAATTTGTACAACAGACTCATACTCAAGTTACCTCTGATTATTTAGACAATGAACATTGAAATTTGATGTTCTGATCCACTGACAATGTCAATGCATGTAAATGTCCATGATAATAAATGATTTGATTTGATTTGACTTGATTGTTCCACTCAAGCTGAATTTAAATTTATAATAACAAATTAGTACCTGGGAGTTGAGGAACCTATGTTTGTGGTAAGATCAAATATTAAGTTAAGAAATTATTCCGGCCTTAAAAAAGAATTTAGGTTAGAGTTAAGTGTAATGGTTTGATAAATGACAAATCTGCCATTGTATGTTTTATTATCCTACTCCAGGAACACAAAAAAAGTTTAAAAAAATCTGTCTCCATTGTTTTGGATTCTAATAACGCCAATCACCAAAAACTTAAGCCATGTGACAGTGATTCGCCGATCTAGTCCTAGCCTGAATTATTTGTAAAATGGTTCCGGACTATGGCGAAGACATTAAAAACTGCCCTTGGTCAAAAACATAAAACTGTATATTTTGTGACTAATAGACTTACTGAGGATCTCCATCAAAAGGCCGTCTGTACCAAGCCGGTACTCTAGATTCATACTTCATTTTGGCAACATTGTTTCCAACCTCTCGCATTCGTTCTATCTCACTATCTTCCCAGATTTCCAGCTTAACATGTTTTACTTTGGAAATGTGAGCTCCCAGACCTTGATGAATTCTTGAGCAGCGTTTACAAATAAATATTCCTACATTGTACGATGCCCACTCTGGTTCTGGAACAGAAAATATTTTGCAATCGCATGTCATTCAACTGAATAAACCCTAACGTACTTTAATTTGAGCACTACAGAGATTTTGTATATTAAAAACAATATAATGTCAATACCTTAAGGATATAGGCCTGCCTAGAGTCTGACATCTTACTTTCCTCTTCATTGCCACTGTTCTTAACACCGGTGTTAAGGGGTCAAAGATGCCGACCATGTTAGGTTAGGTCTAAATTAGGGTGGGTTAGGGTTAGACCGTAAGTTAGACCAAGTAGGCCTTTTTTTTGTTTAAGTTATTAAATGGATGGTCAGTAAAAAAATGTTAGAGATGATTTAGCCTAGAATGTGTTTTTTTTAACTAATTAAGTTTTGTTTTTATTGATGATGGGAGATAATTATAAGAGGGATTATCAAAGAATAATTATGGGAGATAATGCATAAAATTGTTCAATAAGTTGAATGAATCGGCAAGGACCAGCTCACTTAAACACTTCATGTTAAAACAAGGTAACTGCTTGGCTTTTAGACAATCCCTTTTACAATGTATTTTTCCTTGGTCCTCTTCACCTTGGTTATTTAGTCATAGAAAACTAGGGGATTGTCATCTTCATTTTTCATTGTAGTGTGCTCTTTGAAGAACTCATCTAATTTGTAGTACTAACTAGATAAAACCCATCGAAATCACACTTTCAAGGCTTGAGCTAATTTATCTAACTGTAATAAATAGAGTAAAATTTTACAGATTTTGAGCATTTAGCATTGTTTAATGAGTAAAAAAGTGTAAATCAATAATGACTATTGCGTTTGTTACAAAATATTTCCCATACCGCACGTCATCGGAGTTATTATAACTATGTTATATAAAAGGCTATTTGGCATTGGACATTGTAAGCTGAATCAGTGGTAAGCTCTGTTATTGACATGAGATCATCAACGTTGGAATGAACACTCAAAAATTGGTGTCATCCGCAAACATGAAGGTGAACCTTTTATATTGGCAGATAGGTCATTATTGATAACTATAAAAGAAGTTGACCAATAATTGAGCCCTGTGGCACACCTGAGCAAACAAGCAGCTTGACACCCCTTTAGAATGTATTTATTTCATTGACACCCTGCCTCCTGCATCAACGAATTGAGATCTCTCTTTCAGATATGAATAAAAAAACTTAAGCTGGATACCGCAGATGCCATAGTAAGTTACTCCAGCTTGGTGATGAGTGTGTTGTTGTGATCAATCAAAGTTCAACATAGGCCTATGGTTGTTGCTCGTACCATTTAGGCCTAGTCTAATATGTGAGGGTAGACCTATACCCTGAACCCGCAGCTGCACTATGGTAATAATTAGGCCTAGTTGTATGGTTAAGATAATCAGTGTGTAGTGTGCTTAAAATGTAAAAATATCAATGTTTGTTTTTTATTTGTGTGTTTTGAAGACTTTCTGACGACCTACTTAAGAGCGATTACCCAGGTCTTATGGATTGACACTGACACAATAAATGTGTCGAAACCGGTCGCCATTCAGGCGACTAAGGATTACCTTGGCAACCAGAAACCTCTTTTTTAGTATAACTCAATTGCTAAGTAAATCTGAAAGGCAACACCTCAACAATGAAATCTATTCTTACATATGAAATTATATGGGTCCCTTTTTTTCATAGACGCAATTAATGATCTTCCATGTAACATTCCTATTGACTAGGTGTTAAATGCAGACAACACTACAATTTTTAATTCTGATTAAACTCAAACAAAGCTCTCAGAAGCACTTATTTTTAAGCAGAAAACAGTGTTTTAAACTAGTTTTCTGCAAATAAACTCATCTGTAACCAATCCAAAACCCATAAAATTGAATTCTCACTCTCTTCAAGACAGTTAGACCACTCAGTTAAACTTCTTGGCATTCACCTTGATAGTAGTAAATTAAGTTGAAAATCTCACATCACAAATATAAGCAAAAAAATCTTGAGGGTGTCATTTTTATTCTGGAAATTAAATGCCTCTTGTCAGCATTGAATATCTTAAACTAACCTATTTTGGGCTGTTTTAGTCTCATATTCAATATGGAATTCTAAGATGGGGCCATTCCCCCTTGTTCATGGGCTTCTACTAATACAAAAGGAAGTCATCCGCACAATGTTGGGGCCTGACCCTGCGGAGCACTGCATACCACTTTTCATCAGACTACACATAAGTTATGAACAATCGTAAATTTATACATCTACTCCGTTCTTACATACACAAAAGCTAATTTACATGAATTTTCCACGAGGCAGGACTACCATTCACACTTCACACGAAGGAAAGAACAGCTGGACACATCTCATCACAGACTGACCATCACAGGTAATCATATAATGAAATTACGTATGTAGGGTTGACTTATTTATACTCCTATGTGTAATGCTAATCATAGATATTCGGTAAGAGGATGACAGATTATTTGAATTGACATAGTCAAATACTAGATAATCTTATTTATTTTTTTAGCAGTCTTTAAAATCTTTAGTTTGTTTTAGTGCATATAATAATAACATATAAGTGAATATTTAACTTAAGTTAATTTGTTATAGCTGGTTGAATATCAAAATATTCCATATTCTATAGAGCTATGAGGTTAGTTTATTTAATCTGTGATTTTGTCATTGATTAGGCCTATAGGAAATAAGTAGGCCTAAGATTCTTTAACCATTGCTGTATACGAATCGAAGCTCAAGAGCTTTTAAAAGAAAGCTTATGAAAATTTTTTTACACCTAACCTAAGTTACTCTACTACTTAGGTTACTATTTTATTTTTATTTTAGAATAGTGACGTTACCTATTGTATTTATTTACTTAATGGTATAAATAAATCTCTTGAATCTCTCTCTTAAATCTCTTGAATCTCTCTTGAATCTCTCTTGAATCTCTACTCAAATTATTTAGGAAAGGTTGGGAAATAACAATTATCACATGTTTAAATTTGTCTTGGCAGCATTTCTTTACAATAAATTTTGAACTGCTTAAACTAGCCTAAACTTATGCTTGAATTAGGAAAAGAAATATTGTTAACTATATACGGTACAGTTTTAATAGACTTGATTCCCGTACGTAGGACGGGCCGACAGCTCATTCCTTAAAATTATAACTTATTGAAAGAAATTTTACAACAAGCTGTCTGAGCCTATCAAGGCAGCCAGCCTTTCTCTTTCCACTTTAAAATAAAAATTGTTTAATTAGTTCATGGCAAACCCGTTTTATAACCTAACTTACTTAGTAGGCCTAAGTTAGGTTAACCTTACCTAACCAAACGATGTATCGAATTATAGATATTTTAATTCGAATGAGTGTAGGACCTAAAGTAAAGTGCAGCCCTATTCTTATTCCTCTTCTGAAATAACACTTAGAGCCTAGGTCCTATCACAAATTAGGCCTAGAATTTTGCTAGGCCCCTAAACTTAGGCCTACTTTGGCTACATTTTTAGCCTACCTAGTAGAACCATGTAGAACTTTAAACCTCAGATGAAATTTAGTAACATAGGTTATCACCTAAAGGCAATCAGTCAGGCCAACTAATCGTATTTTTTTATGGGTAGGCCTACTTTTTAATTTATATGAGAACTAAACTAGGCCAGGTGGCAAGGCCTATGTTTATGGTCAACGATATGTCTGTAAAAATAGGCTAAACAATATGATTATGATTGTTTTCATGCATTAATCAAATTTTATCATGAATATACTTACTTTTGCAATTACAATCAGCACAAATATCATTACCAGGTCTCTTTAGGAGTTCTAATATTGCTCGCCCATTCGTATTATGGTCCATCTTTAACTTTGTTTATTTATTCTAAACCTAAACTAAACTAACATTTTAGCGATTTTAGTTATTGGAAGTGAAGGACTGGAATAGTGGAAAGTGGAATGAAAATAATGGAAATAGGGAATTCTCTTTTATTTTTATTTTTATTAGTTATGTTTATTTGATTTAGATTCGTTGGTCGGTAACGTGTCTTCCCATGGAGCTGCGAGACAAGATAACTTGATATGGATTGGTCATTCATTACTGTATTCCTTCGCCTATTCCCCTGTTTCAACATTTTGTTACCACGATCATAGATAAAACAATATACTCCTCTATGTTCATACTCCTCCTTGAGGAGTATGTTTTATCTACGCTACCACGACAACAATTAATTCTAAAGAGTGCTCCTCAAACAAATGCATAGTTCAGATTTAGTTATGTAACTTGTGATGAAGTCCTATCGGCAATTAGGAAAATGAAAAACTCAAAAACAAAAGATATTTATGACATTTCTCACTGGTTCATCAAAGAGGGACCTCCTCCTGTGTGTTTTCCCCTCTCACAGTATGCATAAATGCCTGTCTTCAGGAAGGACACTTAAATTTTTAAAATTGTCAAAGATCTGTCCGATTTTCAAAAAGGGGGATAAAGCTAGTCCCCAGAGTTATCGGCCTATCAGTCTGGTACCGACTTTGGCTAAGGTAGTCGAACATGTGATCTATAACCAGGTGAGAATTTTTTTTTGTATCATGCTCTGTTCAACGAACAACAATTTGGTTTCAGGACTGGACGCTCTACTACGGGGGCCATCGATGCCATGGTCCGCACAGTCTTCAATTGTTTTGAAAGTCGAGAGGCTGCTTGGGCCACTTTTATTGACCTAAGCAAGGCCTTTGATTGTGTTGACCATGGCATCCTCCTCCAAAAGCTGGAGTATTATGGTATCCGTGGTGCGAGCCTCAGCCTATTCAGGACATACCTTGCTGATCGAAGACAGGCAGTTTACATAGGCAATACCTGGTCCTCTGTCCTATCCACTAACTGTGGAGTACCTCATGGCTCAGTATTGGGTCCTCTCCTGTTTCTCATTGCCATCAACGACCTGCCCTTCAGCCTCAACTGTGATGCATATTTGTATGTAGACGATACCACCATTCTAAGTAAGGGTGCAGATGTAACGCAGCTTGTACCGGTAGCTGCAGTGGAAAGTAGCCTAAGTTTGACCTCTGAATAGTTTGCAGCAAATAAATTCCTTGTCAACGAGGACAAAACACAGTCTATGCTATTTAGCTTGCGGCCTACACCTCAAATGGAGGAAACTATCAAAAACCACATGACAATGTCATACAAAATGCAGAAGAAGAAAAGAAAAGAAAGTATATTTCAGCCTGTGAGAGCCGGAATGCCTCTTTCACTCCTTTGATAACATTAGTCTGCGGAATCCTAGGCAAAGATTTTCAAACACTAATAAGAGCACACTAGCTGAAAAATGGGTTAAGCCTTACAGCCTGGTAGTTAATTGGATCAGAACGAAACTATGACTTGCTCAATTTTAAGGGCAACAAGTATGTGCCTGAGAAGATCTCGAAAAAAATGGAGATCTGCTCGAGAATTTGAAGATGGAGCAGGCATCCAACATATTTATGGAAAGAATAAAATTTTTTTGTAATATCTGTAAATTTAGATTTATTTGTCTTGTAATTATCTATTAAATCTTATGTCTTATATAAAAAAAATCAAATGTTAAGATTCTTGGAGTAATTGTTGATCCCCAACTAGCTTGGAACTCCCAGGTACAACATATATGCACAAGACTAAGTAGGCTTACTTTTTTATTTAGAAAATTAAGGAACCTTCTGCCTCTAAATCATCTCAAAAATGTTTATTTTGCACTTGTCCAGTCAGTTCTAAGCTACGGGATAATCCTTTGGGGAAATAGTTACCACATCAATGATTTTCTTGTTGCCCAAAAAGAGATTATTAGAACTATATTCAACAAAGATCAAAATGAACATTGTAAACCATTATTTATTAACTTTAATGCTTTGACTGTGATAAACCTTTAAATATTTATAATGTATTGTTATCTAGTTTTAAGTTGCATGAAACCTTTGCTCTAAAGGGGTGATTTTCATTGCTTTGACACTAGGGAAAGAGAAAACCTTGACATTCCTTTTACAAGACTGGAAAAGATTAAAAGAAGCCATATTATTATGGGTAGAAAGTTGTGGAACAAACTATCGCCAAGAATAATTCAACTCCCTTACAATAGTTTTAAGAATGCAATTTATGAATGGCTTGTCAGAAACCCCCTGTATAAGATTGATCATAAAATAACAGTTACCTTGTTCAATATCCTTTGGCCAAAGGATATTGAACAAGGTAACTGTTATTTTATCTCATTTAAAATGACATTTAAAATGGTTTGACGAGGAATGAAGATTGGATGCCTGTTGGCATTTTACAAGATTTAGATTTTGGTCTAAACATTATTTTTGATAACTTGTATGAATTATTTAAATATATCTTCGATGTAAGCTTTCCTACCTTAACCTGCAAGAATAGAAATGAACCTAGCTCTTCTTGGATTGGTAATGAGGTTGTACTTGAGTCTCCTTTTGCAAATGTATTGGGAGACAAGCCCAAAGGGCTGTTCGGAAGATGTTTAGATGGCCTACAATTGGGCCAAACGGAAGCATTCGTCTCTTATTACTCAGACAACAAAGTCTTATTTTGGTAATAGAATTATAAACTCAAAAAATACTAGTAAGGAGGCTGTGATCCGTGCAATTTGTGATGAAGATTATGAAACACATACTAACTTAAGCTCGAAATCGATGATATTGTTGTGACAAACCCCCAAACCATTGTAAATCACATTTGTGAGTTCTTTTTTTAGGAAATTTCTAGATTGGCAAATGGCCATTGTGCTCCTGAGATCCCTGATGATAGTAGCCACGGCCGCCTTTCGCTCAGGCCGCGGCCTTCAAAGTTTTTTTTTTTTTTTTTTTGGAGAGGAGGGAAAATGCTTTTACGCACTCAGGTAGCCAGCCTGTAGTGTGAGACTCCTGAAAATTATCAGACTACTCACTAAAAAACCCCCTCTACTCTGTTGGACACAGACCTGGAATTGTTTGTCACATTACTTCAAGTCTGGCCAACATGTGACCTAAGCCCTCAGGGCTCGCACCGTTTCTGGCATTTAGATTCTTAATGACCTACACCGCATCCCGGTCAAGGTCGATCTTCTTGGCGCGGAGAATACCCTGGATATAATGTGACACACAGGTCCAATTGTCCTCACCCTCCGTCATAATCGGTATGACCGTGTCCACCGACAGCAGTCCTATTAATTGTTGAGCCTCCAGGCGGGGCCTTTCCCAGCGCTGGCAGTGGAAAAATGTATGTTCCACGTCATCGAGAATGCCTGGGCAGTATATGCAGTCGGGTGACACGGCTTTGCCCATCCTGAACAGGTACGACCGGAAAAAGCCGTGTCCCGTCAGAAATTGGGTGAGGTAGAAGTCCACCTCTCCGTACCGCCGATCAACCCAAGGTTGGACTTGCTGTATCAGTCGCCTGGTCCAGAGTCCCCGTGTCTCCTGTTCCCAGCCCTCCTGTTACAGCTGGTAGGTGCTACCCTCAGTGCTGCCTGACGCTGCACTCGGGCGAGCCGCATCCTGTATGCCTCCTTATTTAGTGCGTCTGCCCACACCTCAGCACCGTACAAGAGTACGGACTGGACCGAAGACATTAACAGCCTTCTACGACTGGACCGAGGCCCTCCGACATTGGCCATCAACCGGCTAAGAGAAGAAACCACCCTAGCGGCCTTGTCCGCTGTACGGAAGATCTGATCCCGCCAGCTAAGCTTGCTGTCTACCATGACCCCAAGATACTTGGCAGAACGAACAGTTTGAACCTCGACGGCTCCCACCCTCAACGGCACGATGGTGTCAATCCGTTTTTTTGTCAAAATCACGATCTCGGTTTTGCTCAGAGCAAGCGAGAGACCGTGGTCTGCCATCCATGCGTTTATGGTACGCATAACTCGGTTTAGCTTTAGCTGAGCCAGCTCAACGCTACGTGCAGCTATCAAAGCTGCAACGTCGACTGCGTACCCAACCAAGACCGTTTCCTCAGGCATTTCAGACCTCAGAAGGCTGTCATAAGCGACGTTCCAGAGGTCTGGGCCGAGTATGGAACCTTGGGCAGCACCAGAAGTGACACTCATCGTCCGTGGGCCCTCCGCAGTGTCATACGTTAGGAGGCGAAACCGGAGATAATCCTCTATGATGCGCATGAGGTATGCCGGCACGTGGAAGGTGTTCTCCAGAGCATCCAGCATATCGCACCACCTCGCCGAATTAAATGCATTTCGCACATCGAGCGTTACGAGCAGCACAACCCTGCGAGAGTAGTGGGTAAAATCCTCAGCTCTCATCACGGCTTGCTTCACCTCCTCAATCGCATCAATCGTTGATCGCCCCATCCTGAATCCATACTGACGAGGGGAGAGGTCCCCCGCAGCGACAACGGCTGAATTTAGCCGGGAACGGATCAATTTCTCGAGGACTTTGCCAGCCGTATCCAACATACACAGAGGTCTGTAAGAGGATGGCAGATCTGGGTCTCCCTTGCCTTTCCCAACAAGCACAAGCCTAGCTGTCTTCCAGCACAAGGGGAATACCCCTTCAACCAGGCAGGCGTTGTACATGCCCAAAAGGATCAAGGGGTTGGTAGTCAAAACCTTCTTGAGGACTTCACCGGGCACCCCATCGGGACCAGGAGCCTTGTTGTTCTTCAGGGATATGACGGCCGCCACCAGCTCTTCAGGGCTGAAAAGTGGGACGTCGTCCACCCTTCCATAATCCCGCAGTGGGCGCAACGCGTGAGCCGGGAAAAGGGACTCGACTATCCTCTCCATAGTGACCCTGTCCATGACGGAAGGTGGTGAGCGGGTTCCAAGTTTCTTGGTTACAAGTTTGTAACCAAGGCCCCACGGGTTGGAATCAACATCGTCCCTTAATTTATCCCAGCAACTGCGTTTACTCCGATTGATGGCTCGACGAAGATACCTCCT